TCTTACCCACTTAGCCACGTGATCCCCACGTAATGTGAGAGTTTAGCTATTAAACAAAAACCAAAAGTGTGCGATTGAAATAAAACATTCGGTAAAAAAATTACCTATTGGATTTTTTTTCTCCTTTAAGCTAATTATTTTAAGCTTCACCCAAATTATAAAGATAAGGCATTGCAGTGTCAAGTTTACAACGAATGCTAAACGATTAACTAATCTGGTTTTGTCTGTCGGTATTCCTTAGTGAAATCAATTTTGCTAAAAAACAGAACTTCGTGTGCTATTTCGGAGGAATAATCTGTGAGGGTTATCGAGTGAGACAGAGGGGTTCAAGTTAGATGAACACCCGAGCATGTGCACAGAGACTGCGTACACGAGCTCGGGTGTTTATCTAACTTATCCCGAGGTCGAGGTCGGTAACTGACTTACACATTTGCAAGAAGTTGGATGAGTCGATGAAAATGGACGGATAGGACACAGACCAAATTGTATCTCAGACCCTTTTCACCCAAAATGTTTTAAATGTTTTCCGGCTGTACGTGACAAGGAGTAGGGTCGCCTGTCCAACCTTTCGTTACCTAACAACGTATCTTTAAAATCCACAATAGATAATGTAATATTAATTTGGTGGGTTATGATGCATTAAGGTTTTACAATCACGATTCGTCAGCCACAGAATAAACTAACCATATTAGGATGTGAACAAAAATGACATGTGGGATTGGCATATTATTTAGAATAACCATCCATAAGGAAAGATTAAAATTATTGAAAAAATGGCCAAATAGCAATTTATCCCGGTTCGCTGGGTTTTGTGTATTTGTTCCCTACTAAGGATGAGTTTTCAAACTAATGTTACTTTTTCACCAACTATCCTTGAAAAAAATATTTATTTAATGTTAACTACATGCATTTATCTTTTTTACTTAACACAGTATTTCTTGTTATTTCTAATACTGTGCACGCATGAAAATGCATGGCCTAATTTCCACAATCACCGGGCTAGTATGTTGAGGTGTTGGTCTATACTATAAACCTATAACGGTAAATCGGTATGCCCGGAATAGCTTGCGGTCTGAAAGTCGGGGGCGGCGTTGGATATCCACGGGGAATTTGGGGTTATTCTTCTGAAAGTTTTTCTTTAAACCTGTAACGGGTTATTTTTTCAATTTAGGTTTGGGTTTTTGTCCATAAGAAAACATGATATAAGAATTTTCTTACTGGAATTCTGGGATATACTCATTTTACGTACATGTAAACATAGACGGTTTATAAGCAAGATAAAGTCCTCGACTTCGGTTATGCTGGCGAAGAAAGACTTCAGTAAACACCTTCGACAGAATAACCTCGGCCTGCCGGGCTCGTTTTTTCTTTTTCTCGGGTTATTTTCTTCGGTCTTTCTTTCCCCAGCATGACCTCAGTCTCGTGCTTTATCCTACACCGAACACCTACTTTTTCTCAAATGATCCCCTGTGCACGTGCTAAAACAACACACTGCAGGTTGATCAGTAACTTGAACACCCTCATGCCGGAGTACCTTCTCAATCACGACATGTACTTCAGGCAAATTTCCTAGGACAAATTTGTCTGCAATATCATCCTCAATGAAAGCGGATGTTAAGCTCTACGAACGAACAACGAACGAACTAAAAATTATATAACTTTTGGTTTCCTTAACATAATTAATTTAAGTTTCAGTGTCAAATTTAGAACGAATGCTAAAATCTATATCTGAGATATCACCTCGATGGAAGTGGGCGTTAAGCTCTACGAACGAACGACGAACGAACTAACGAACTAAAAATTATATAACTTTTGGTTTCCTTAACATAATTATTTTAAGTTCCAGTGTCAAATTTAGAACGAATGCTAAAACCTATGTCTGTGATATAATCTCGATGGAAGTGGCCGTTAAACTCTACCAACGAACTAACAAAGTGGGCGCTAAGCTCTAACAACGAACTAACAAAGTGGGCGTTAAGATCCACGAACGAACTAACAAAGTGGGTTTGAAGCTCTACGATTGAACTAAAAAATGAAATAATGTTTGGTTTCCTGAACATAATTAGTCAAATTTAGAACGAATGCTAAAATATTAATTAATTAACATCGACATGTTATGTCTGTTAGTAATCCCCGTGGATTCAAACGAGGATTACTGAAGACGAGTTGAGGTCAGAGAAATAATTACCATAATAAAGCGTCATCTAAAATTTCATTTATCTTTTTAATGGAATATTTAAAACGAACTTCTTCTAGACTGGAAACTATTTTTGAAACATCATAAATTCCAAGATCTTATTAGTGTTATGTTTTGTCTTAAAAGAGCAATTCAGATAACATTCTGGTCTTATTCGTTAATATATAGATTTGCAAAGATTACTTGGATAAATACTTAATCTGCTAAAAAAAATATCTGTTTTAAGCAGAAAGGTTACGATGGCCCAGAGAGAGAGAGAGAGAGAGAGAGAGAGCGAAAGAGATAGAGAGAGAAAGAGAGAGAGAGATAGGGTTTAACCTCCACTCCATACAAACTAGGTCATTTCGAGACTAACATATGGTTCAATTTTGTACTGATCTTTAGCGTTGGGGGGGGGGGGGGCGGAGAACCCAGAGAAAACCCACAAAGTTGGATACCTTGTGATTTCACTCGCACACGTTAAAGTATACATTCCCCCACCCCCGCGAGTAACAGGCCGTTTCGGTAATTATGTCGATCCCGGATTTTCTAGGAATTTTCCAGCCTGATGTCTAGTGGATGGCGTGCACTCAAAAAACCCTTTGATAGTTGTAATGCGACGAAAATGAGAAGACGGTAATGCCGTTGTCATAGCGCACTGTGTGGGGTATATATATACCAGTCTTCATTTTTCTGGTTTGAGCAGAAAAGTAGGACGTTAAATCCCATTTGATTTTATTTCGTTTTTAAGCAGCCGCATGTCCATACAACGGGAATACCAACCACCCGATGTGGTGATTCGCGGCATTATAAGTGTCTTAATTGCATTCATTAAAATAAAATTCCCAAAATTGAAGACGGATCAAAATGTAATTGAGAAACGAAATGGCATCGAGCATTCTTGACGAAATCATGAGGACAGTAATTTCTTTTATATAACATCAAATTGCAACAAAAAGGCCATTCAAGATTAGCCTTTTATTAACGTGGTTGACCGGTTTCCTGGAAGTGGACAAAGGTCATACAGAAATATCAATGGATGACAAAGGAAAGGAAAAGAATATCCTTGAAAGGTTGGTTTTAACACGCTGATTAATCCGACACGAGACTTAAACATTGTCTTGAGCCATTCAAAGTAAATCCAACGAAAAGCAATACCCAATTACCAATCATCGAACGGTACCCTACTTCTGTAAGGATTGAGAAATGGAGCGTTCTTGGAGAAGAGAGATGGTCATTCTATTTACAAATAAAAGCAGAAGAGTTTCTTCCGTTAGAATTGAGAGATGTGTACCACTCTTGTAGAAGTACATGACTGTCAGATTATAATAAGCCCGTCTTTGATTTCAGACAAAATGAAATGAAATGAAATTTAACGTCCTACTGTTCTGCTCCTAACCTGTGCTAATGAAGACGGGCATACGCCATACAGTGTGCTATGAGAGAAATTTTGCCCGGACAGCGGCACTACGGCCTACTCTTATATCGAATTCCAACTGCCAAGGGATCTTTTACGTGCACGCCAATGTGTACACGGGACCTCGCTTTTTCGTCCCATCCGAACGACTAGACAGCTGTCCTTGTCAGGCCCTCCGTTCTGCACCACTGACAAGGGGAAACCACGCCGGAATATCTGGATGAACTTTCTCCGCCCATGGGGGGATCGAACACCCGACCTCCAGGCTAGCGAGCCAGCATCTTACCCACTTAGCCACCGTGACCCCCTTGATTTCAGACCAAAATAATGTATTGAATAATCTGATGTGTTATTTCGATTATTTATCCCGGTTGTTGCAGAAATGTAGGACGTTATATGTCATTTCATTTTGACTTTTACTGTTTATGGGGAAACAGGGTATTTTTTTATGAATTTTCCTTTTATCATACTTGTATTCTTACTTTGCATTTGTCAAGCGCATCTGAACATTTCGGTTTTATATATAGCTAATTTTATACGTTATTCATTTAAAGATACATTAGTTAAGAGTTTTATAAAAAGTTGGCCATGCCTGCTATAATAATTCAAAAATAGATGATAAAAAAAATAAAATGTTGAAAATTTCACTCAAATTACTTTGTTCTGAACGGAATTGTCACTGTTGGAAGTTTGGACTAGAAACAGGCATCAATTGTGTCTGCACCGTCTATGAGAATTGGCGATCGTTTGATTGGCAGACAATAACTCCACCCACATATTTTCAATTATCAAGTAACTTGCTCAATGGCTATTGTAGCCTCGATCGGCAGGCCTATATTCACCAGTTTCCGGCAGTGACATCAGCGGTTACGGTAAACGTTAGCTTGGTCCGCCATTTTTAGATTTAATTTTAAATGGACGATTGTTTAAATCCAAACTGTATCTAAGCCATCCGTGGGTTTACAGAGTTGATTTTGAGCTTGTCGTGTAAATAAAGGTCTAATTAATAATTTCTAGAACATCTGAAGCCTAAATAAAGTCTTGCAATAGGCAGATTTAGCTCTTGCATAATGTATGTTTAACATTGCTTTTACTTTTACTGTTTTAGGGGGGGGGGGGATTATATAGACATTCTTTTCATCATATAAATTGTATGTTAAGCACATGTGAACACTTCTGTGAAAGATACGCTATATACCCAAAAGTATTAGCGCAACCGTAAAGCTGCACTATTTTGATACTGTGGCAGCGATTTGAAGAGCCTGGACGTGACTCAAGTAAATGAACCCGGTAATAATTAAGACGGGGGAAGAGGGGGGTAAGAACTATCCACAAGATTTTCAGCTCATTGATAATTTGTGCGAAGAAGAAGAGTTATTTTGTGTTTTAAGAATGATAGTCACGTACCTGTGTCTAGAGACCACCGGAGAATAGTATCGAGTTCATGACCTTGTGAAGCTGCACAGTCACCCCTGTTCACAGAGGCGTCTACATTAATCATGCCCATTCTGGTTTTAACTCCTGATAAGAAAGCAGTAGCAGTTCCAGCCGAGTCCGGTACTTGAGAATCAACATTGTAGGTCTGGAAGAAGATTATCATAAATAGAGGGTACTGTCTATTCAGGGTTGGTGGCTAGTCTAGGGCTGTCCTGAAGCTGAGATTTGATGTATAGGGTTATCGGACCAGGAAGTGAGAGACAGAGAGAGAGAGACAGAGAGAGAGGAGAGAGAGAGAAATGGAGTTTAACGTCCACTCGACACAAACTAGGTCATTTCGGGACCAACATATGGTTTTATTTTATTTCAATAATTCGCTTGCACGTAGGGGTCTTTAGCAGTGGGAGAAAACCGGAGGACCCACGAGGTTGGAAGGCGACCCTACTCTTTGTCACGTTTAACCGGGAAATCGAAACCAGGACCAGGAAGTAACATGGGCCTGGTGGTAGGGTGACCCACCATAAATAAATATCTCCATATATCTCGACAATTTCGCCACAATATTTATATATATGCCAAGCCTCAAATCAGTTTCACACAATTATAGTCACTAAATAAACGATCATGTTGTACTTAATAAGCTATGACCATTAATCATCTATAAATAATAGACTGAAAACTGGTTCCATGTGTCGTCCATAACATCCAGACACTTTTGAGTAAAAGATAGGTTACGTGCCCTTGTTTTGAAATTAGAGTCGCTTAACCAGTCTATCGACCATTCTAAGGCTGATTGACAGGTCGGGATAATCAAGACTACTTTTTTACGAAACATAACAGAAAGCTAGAACAAGAAATTGAATTAAGAAATGAGCACGTTAGCTAGCTCAACAATTGTTTTAAGAAGCTTGTAAAAGTAAAATGAAACTACTGCTAGTATCATGTTCCTGTCTAACCCGAGTGTTTCAGAGATAGAATTTGTACTAAACCAAAAGATGCCGCTCTTAACGGTACAGTTAATGATAAAGCGATTTAAAAAATGAAACGAACGTAATTTCTAAATCTGCTGTAATAACCAAGAAGCTTAATTTTACTGCTATTCAAAATCGTCAACAATAATTTTTTTACGGCTGTAATAGTTGATAGATTTGTAGAGAATTGCACGTGCCATGGCTATTTATAGTATCATACTGTCAGAAAGTTGGCCTCGACACGGCGAATGTGCACGCTTCAGTGGTAGTCTCGAACTATCAGCGGTTGACTGTATTTCTGTAGGTGCATGGGCCACCCTACTGGTGGCGTTGGACTACCGCTTCCGGTTTCGGAGTTATGTTATGGTTCATGGCTATAACCTTGCTGGGTCATCCGTTAGTTGTATACATATATATATGGTTTTATAACAAAAGCACATCGTGGTAGACTTATTTCGTCTAATTAGTATAATAATATGTACCTGATCAGACAATAATTGTGTAGCAATAATATTGTCAGTAAGCACAGTGAAAAAACGTCAATCAGTCAGGTGGTAATTGCTAGCCGTGTGTGTACACTGTGCTTGACAAGGCATATACTAGATGTGGGCGTGGCCTGTCTGTGTTTTTGTTACCCCTAAGCAATCGCCATGTTTGTTCTACAAATTGAAAACAAGTATGGCGGTTGTTTAGGGCGTTAACTTTTTGTTTATTTAATTATTTCTGAAGTTTTGTAATCGGAGTTCAGCTTTAAACATTGTTTACCTTAGCTAAACCGGCATACGGAAATTTCTCCCAACTCAGAATTGTTTCTTCACCAGGATGTTTCGCGGACTGTCCTTTCAGAATTCTGGAAGCGGTGATCGTCGGAAGGCTCATACCGTCTCCAATAAATATGATCACATTTTTGGCTTTTTCAACAATGTTGCGAACTCTGAGTGATTCTTCTATGGATGCTCTTCCAGAGTTGAGCCAAAAATTCTTAGCTGAAATTATTTTAATATTTATATGGTTAAAATAAATGCCCTTTACCTTTCTAAATGAGGGGGTGGGGGTGGATGGTAGAATGGTTAGTGTGTGTGTGCGCTGCATCATAAGGTCTGGTCATTGAGTCGACTGGCGTGGTTTCCATTCCCCGGTTGTGCGTGACAAGGGACGCCTGTCCAACCTCGTAGGTTTACTCCGGGTCCTCCGGTTTCCTCGCACTGCTAAAGACACCTACGCGCAAGCGCATTATTGAAATAAAATTGAACCATATGTAAGTCCCGAAATGACCTAGTTTGTGTCGCGTGGACGTTAAACCTCATTTCTCCCTCTCTCCCTTTCTAAATGACATAACAATACCTCACTTCTATGTCATGCGATTACTGTTTATTCGACGAAGAGTGGGCTATCTGTAAAACAGGTTGTGTAGCACATTCGTAGGTTCAGTTACAAAATGACTTTATATATGTAATTATTGTGACACCCAGACAAACTATATAGATCCGTATAGTTCGAGAAGATCTATAAAATTGTATTGTACCGTTGTTCTGTCTGTGTCTATTACGCAGTAAAATAGCGAGTTTTATCATAAATTATCTCAAAAATTTGTCTCAATATTACATTTTTAGAGTACTAGCATGGTATTAAAATATTTTTAGATCCAGCATGGTATTAAATATTATATTTTAGAGTTCTAGCATGGTATTAGATATTACATTTTTAGAGTTCTAGCATGGTATTAAATATTACAGTTTTAGAGCTCTAGCATGGTATTAAATATTACATTTTAGAGTTCTAGCATGGTATTAAATATTACAGTTTTAGAGTTCTAGAAGGGTATTAAATATTACAGTTTTAGAGTGCTAACATGAAATTGAATATTATATTTTTAGAGTGCTAGCATGGTATATAATATTACATTTTAGAGTTCTCGCATGGTATTAAATATTACCAGTGCTCACTCTGGGTTTCATTTTTTTCCCGCAAATTTCTCATTTTAATTTATTAGCCATATATTTTTTCCGCAAAAAAAAGAGAAAAAGTATCTATTACATTTTTTCAGTAATTTTTATTTACATAAGTACATCCAATATACATATGATATTATAATTTACAAAATTTATCTCAGCTTTGCAGAAGCCCATTTTTTGAAAGTTATTTCAACATCTGGGGTAACCACTTTTCCATTACTTAGTAACATTAAATTACACAGTGTATTTGTTTCAATGAATATCTGTATTTGCTTTTTATAATATTTTGTCAACTAACCCGTCTTTCACAGTCTGCAGTTTTCGAATTTTTTCTCTGTCGCGAACTTTTGAGGTACTCTAAAATGCAGACCTATTGTAGAAGCTGATATTGCTTCAACATTCAAGGATGTAATATTATTAGATGGACGAGAGCTGATCATGTCAGTATCATCTGTAGACTTGGAACATTTTGGTGGTGACATACTAAAATAATCTGACATTCTTCTATCGGACATTTTTCGCTACGACCCATGGCATGTGATTTGGCGATAACTGACTTTCGAATATATACGCATTTATAAACTGAAACAACAAACCTGGCTTCATTTATTAACGATACAGGAGTAAGAAAAAGATAAAACAGCCGTCATAATCCAATAATCCCAAACAAACCGAACGAGTATTATTCATAGTGTCCGCCATTTTGATTATATAGAAACTGTCAAAAAAGTCACCGATTCATAATTGAAGACAAATAATTAAATCTTTTGTCTCTTAATTAGTTTATTACTACTCTTACTGTAAATAGTAATCAACACTAATCCGAGAATGATTAATAGACAAAAGATATCTCTATTATTAGTACCCAATTGATTTATAACTGACTCAGCCAAGTGCAATAGACTGTAACGTGTATGCACTGCGTGGAAATCAAAGCTTTGTGGTAAGAAAAATTTATCGCCACGTTCAAAAAAGAATCGCCATACATACAGGAAAAAGTTATCGGCAAAAATTTCGCCAAATTGAATATTTTATCGCCAAAATTATATTTTTATCGCAATTGGCGGAAATGGCGATCGACAGCGTGAGCGCTGAATATTACATTTTAGAGGTCTAGCATGGTATTAAATATTACAGTTTTAGAGTGCTAACATGGTATTAAAAATTATAGTTTTAGGGCTTACCATGATATTAAATATAACATTATTAGAGTTCTGGCATGGTATTAAATATTACATTTTTAGAGTTCTAGCATATGGTATTAACTATTACATTGCTACCGTTGTTACGATAATAAACAAAGTCTCGATTATCTATTTTTAAAATTAAATTAACAAATGGCGATCAAATGGCGATCATGTTTAAATCCATTCAAACATTACAACCATACGATAGTCTAGATGATGGACTTTTCATGTTAATAAATGTCTAAATAATAATTTATATAAATAGAGAGACAGAAATGGGGTTTAACGTTCACTCGACACAAACTAGGTCATTTCGGGACTAACACATGGTTCAATTTTATTTCAATAATTCGCTTGCGCGTAGGGGTCTTTAGCAGTGGGAGGAAACTGGAGGACCCGGAGAAAACCCACGAGGTTAAACAGGCGACCCTACTCCTTGTCACGTACAACCAAAGAATCGAAACCCCGCCAGTTGACTCAATGACAGACCGTATGATACAGCGCAGCGCGCACGTGCTAACCATTCGGCAATCCAACCCAATCAAAAGAAAGACCCGCAATAGTCCGATTTGGCTCTTACATAGTCCACCCTTAATACAAAATGTTCAAATAAATAACTTGGGGGTGGGGGGGGTGCATAATAGACAGGTTACCGTGTTTCTCATTAAATCAGTGATTCTCACCCAGTGTGCCGCGGCACACGGGTGTGCCACAAGATCTTCCTAAGTGTGCCGCGAAATTGTGAACGGCACACTAACAAAAATTTATCACTAAAAGAAGCCAGCTATATTGACTGATGAAATTCGAAACACTGCAATACAGTAAGTTCATATCTATGTTTTCTTTATTTAGTTTGAGTCATTCTATGTGTTTATGACTAGTCTGTGTCTACAGCTGTATGACGTCTTTGAATTACCATGGGTTTTTTTGTGGGGTGGGGGGGTTCTTTTGCAAAATTCAAATATATTTCCTATATATTTAGCCAAGTGTGCCGCTATTTTTGCACCAGTGTATTAAATAATTTAAAAAATCAATAAACTTACACTTTTCGGCTATTGGAATCACGGCTACCACTGACGACACAAGAACGGAAGTTATTATAATACCAAGGGACTTCATGGTACTCGAACAGTTGGGGACACAATGGGTATGATACTAGAAACATAATAGATTGACCAGATGACATCCGCTTATATATATTTCACACAGAGATCTTATCTATGCACATCTGTTAAACGTTACATTGTGTACACAGTGCAGTCAACACGTTTCTTCAGTGTAACCTTTGGGTTATGTAAATTTTAACGTAAGTGTCACACAAAATGGTCACGTTGCCCCGATAACTTATTCTGAGCCAAAACAAAATCATGTTATCTACAATATGTTTGTTTGGAATAATCGAGGAGATGGGGAGGGGGGGTGGATGGCCGAATGGTTAGCACGTGCGCGCTGTATCATAAGGCCTCTTATTGAGTCAACTGGCGCGGTTTCGAATCCCCGGTTGTACGTGACAAGGAGTAGGGTCACCCGTTCAACCTCGTGGGTTTTCTTTGGGTCCTCCGGTTTCCCCCCACTGCTAAAGACCCGTACGCGCAAGCATATGTTAGTCCCGAAATGACCTAATTTCCTAAATTGTGTCGAGTGGACCTTAACCCCCCTCTCTCCCTCTCTCTCTCTCTCTCTCTCTCTTTCGATTGGAGTAAAAGAGGTTTCAATGAAAAGCAGTTTAACGTCCTACTGTTCTGCTTCGACTGGGCTAATGAAGACGGGCATACGCCATACCGTGTACTATGAGGGAAATTTGTACCGGAAGGCTGCGCTAGGGCCTATTCTTATGTCGAATTCCAACGACCAAGGGGTCTTTTACGTGCACGCCAATGTGTACATGGGTTCTCGGTTTATCGTGCCATCCTGATGACTAAACAGCTGTCCTTCACCCGTCCTATTTGTCTGCAGAAGTCGAACTACTGAAGACTGGCATACTTCAAGCAGTGTGCCATGTGAGAAATTTTGGTTGAACAGCAGCGCTATGACCTACTTTTATTTTTAATTCCAACTATCAAGGTTTCTTTTCTGTTGACAATGTGTACACATAGCCTCGGTTTATCGTACAATCCGAACGACTAGACACTGTGTTCCTTGTCAGGCACACTGAACTACTCCACTGGTATGCGGAAATACGCTATAAAATGTAATACTATGGTCTATGCGACCATATTCTATCCATAACTAATTATTAGATCCATATATTGTAGGGAAGTCATATCTCACGCGCTCAAATTGAATGAGTGATCAGTTTATATATAAAAACTGTGATAATTTGGTAAAAACACTGGTTATGTCCTTTCCATCGTCAGAATATCAATCAAATACTATCTTGTTTATAACACGTGTTTGGTAGACCAAATAAGATAATGTTCTCCTCCCGGTCTTCGGGGTATGGGGGATGTTTTTTTCCATATTTGGGAAGGAAATTAACACCACCATGGTCAGTCTATGACGTAAGATAGAGTGTTGTACTATGGTTGATACGGAACGACAATTTGAACAGCTAGAAAGTGACGTAAATAACTTAGTTATTGTTCCAGACTGCACCAGGGGAGCTGTAACTGCTGGACAGACGATTGCCAGAGGATGTAATTTACAAACTGATTATTCATACTTTGAGAATAGATCTCTGTTCTGAATGGCCGTCATATTGCAAAACTTAGTATATAGTATTGTAATGCGGTTCCAATCCTACGAGCACAGTTGTCATTCTATCATTAACAGACTGAATTATTAACCACTAGAGTCACGTATTCTAACAAAACACAACAATGGCTGATATATGAACACAGAGAGAGAGAGAGAGAGAGAGAGAGAAAGAGAAAGGGAGAAAAAGGGAGAGAGAGATAGACAGAAAGAGGGTAGGGAGTATTGGCAGGAGATGGCCTGTGTATAGAGTGTGCGTAGTGTGCGGTTATTGGCTATTTCACCCATCAGGGGTCGGACCACCATTAAATTTAACCATCTGTTTACGAATGTGAGATAGAGAGATAGAAAAATGGGTTTAACGTCCACCTGACACAAACTATGTCATTTCGGGACTAACATATGGTTCATTTTTTTATTTCAATAATTCAATAATATGTAATTTAATTTAATCTTAGTCTTTGTTGGAGTTGAAAATCATTTAACACGAGCACGAGCAGTTGGATTACCGTCCCTGACCTTTCAGTACTTACAACACAAGCGATAGGTTCTCCTTTCACGATCTTCACTTGTTTAATACTAAGTGCAGGAGGACAGCACAACACACAAATTACAAAGAAATGAAATAAAATGGGGTTTAACGTCCTACTGTTCCGCTCTGACTGGGGTTATAAAAACAGGAAAACTCCATGTAGTGTGCCTTGAGGAAAATTGTTCCCGGACAGCAGCGCAACGGCCTACGCTTATATCGAATTCCAACTGCCAAGGGATCTTTTACGCATACGCAAATGTATGCATGGCACGTCGGTTTTCGTCCCATCCGAACGGCTAGATAGGTGTTCTTGTCAGGCTCTCCCTCCTGCGTCACTGACAAGGGGAAACCACGCCGGAAAATTCCGATGAACTTTCTCAGCCAACACCGGGAGAGAACCCGCAACCTCCAGGCTAGCGAGCCAGCGTCTTACTTACGGCTAGACAGTTGTCCTTGTCAGGCCTCTCCGCCGCCCGGCATCACTGACAAGGGGGGGAAACCACGCCGGAAAATCCCGATGATCTTTCTCGGCCAACTCCGCTAGCGAACCCGTGACCTCCAGGCTAGCGAGTTAGTGGCTTCAAAATTACAAAGACATTGAAGAAATCAACAAAGTTAGTGGATCCACAAAGGCCAGCTGAAAGCGCCCACTGTCATGTACAGTTCCGAGTCGGTAATTATACAGACTTCACTCAAACCTAGACCATCATTTGATCGCGACCCCTCGAAGAACAAAGTTACCTTTTACTATGAAACGCCTCGAAGAACAAAGTTACCTTTTACTATGAAACTCCTCGAAGAACAAAGTTACCTTTTACTATGAAACTCCTCGAAGAACAAAGTTACCTTTTACTATGAAACTCCTCGAAGAACAAAGTTACCTTTAACTATGAAACCCCTCGAAGAACAAAGTTACCTTTTACTATGAAACTCCTCGAAGAACAAAGTTACCTTTTACTATGAAACTCCTCGAAGAACAAAGTTACCTTTTACTATGAAACTCCTCGAAGAACAAAGTTACCTTTTACTATGAAACTCCTCGAAGAACAAAGTTACCTTTAACTATGAAACCCCTCGAAGAACAAAGTTACCTTTTACTATGAAACTCCTCGAAGAACAAAGTTACCTTTTACTATGAAACTCCTCGAAGAACAAAGTTACCTTTTACTATGAAACTCCTCGAAGAACAAAGTTACCTTTAACTATGAAACCCCTCGAAGAACAAAGTTACCTTTTACTATGAAACTCCTCGAAGAACAAAGTTACCTTTTACTATGAAACTCCTCGAAGAACAAAGTTACCTTTTACTATGAAACTCCTCGAAGAACAAAGTTACCTTTTACTATGAAACTCCTCGAAGAACAAAGTTACCTTTTACTATGAAACTCCTCGAAGAACAAAGTTACCTTTTACTATGAAACTCCTCGAAGAACAAAGTTACCTTTAACTATGAAACCCCTCGAAGAACAAAGTTACCTTTTACTATGAAACTCCTCGAAGAACAAAGTTACCTTTTACTATGAAACTCCTCGAAGAACAAAGTTACCTTTTACTATGAAACTCCTCGAAGAACAAAGTTACCTTTTACTATGAAACTCCTCGAAGAACAAAGTTACCTTTTACTATGAAACTCCTCGAAGAACAAAGTTACCTTTTACTATGAAACTCCTCGAAGAACAAAGTTACCTTTTACTATGAAACTCCTCGAAGAACAAAGTTACCTGAACAAAGTTACCTTTTACTATGAAACTCCTCGAAGAACAAAGTTACCTGAACAAAGTTACCTTTTACTATGAAACTCCTCGAAGAACAAAGTTACCTGAACAAAGTTACCTTTTACTATGAAACTCCTCGAAGAACAAAGTTACCTTTTACTATGAAACATCATCATTATTTAATGATTGTAATGAGAGACTGTAGAAACAAATCATAAGAGGAATGACGATTGGCAATGTGGCAATAGGTGTCTAGTGTATATACTTTTCATGAAAACCTAATATGTTTTCAAAAGTTCCTGATGAGTTCGCCATGACATCCCGGAAAGTGCTCCGCGACCTTAGCTGGGGTAGCGACCCCGTGGTTGGGAACCTAGGAACTGGACGCTGTTCCTTGACAATAAATGAAGCCTAGAAGAAGACACATCTAATTGTTAGCCACAGGTAATCATTAGTTTTCCATTGACGGGTTTCGTTTCCGTAGCATATCACTTAAACGGTTCAACATTCACTTTAGCGCATGCGTTGGAGTCTCTCATATGGGGGGAAACCGGAGTAAGCCCACCAGGTTGAGAAATTGCTAAGCCACATCTGCTGGGTTCGAAATCAGAGGTGACCGGCCAGCTAGAGATTCAAGCGCGACACTACAGTTGACTTGGCCACCCCCCCCCCTCCATCTATAGTACTCGTATCAACCAATTATAGTTGTGTCATGTGCTAATTAGACTTCAACCAATTATAGTTGTGTCATGTGCTAATTAGACTATTCGGGTTTAAAAGTTATGGGGTCTTCCCATATCGCCGACTCACCAGAATTTGGAGTGAGTCGGCGGTATGGGAATGAACCATAGTGTTATACAGGTCACAATTTTATGGAATACAATTCCTGCTTATTAATGAACGACGTTTCCACTAGGCTTCTCTAGTCATAATCAAGCAATGTTAATGTCATGTTGATTCAGTCTTATTTTTCCCAAATTTTCTTTGGGCAACACGCATTCTACCACAGATGATGCAGATGACAACCTCTTGTTCAAAAGCAGGTCACCATAGAAAATTGAAGCTACACAAACTGGAAGTAGCATACAAGTTAACATATAACTATTCGCCCTACATTTCAACCTGACCAATTCCTCTAACTTTCTTATCCTTCCGCCTCACAATCATAACTATTTACCAACACTTGGCATATAATGTATATCAAATCCTTTTTTTAGAGGGGATAAAG